CAGAGAAATCCCACAAAACACAAAACCAGAAATCATAATATACATGCAAAGGACCTGTATGGTTTGCAACAATGCTCTGACAAAACATTATGAGACAAAGAACCTCCAAAAATGTGAGTGAGTTTATTTTGATTGGCAATCACCTGCTAGCCATGAAACCTGCCTTCAAGTGCAGTTTGTATAGACAGTGACTTTCTTGGAGAAAACTGATTTTTCCTTTGGGAGCAGTTGTCAATTGGAGCTAGCTTCTGGGTTAGGGATGGGGGCTTGTGTCTATTTTCCCTCTCTGCGCTGGGACTCCACCTGGTGCAGGCTCTGTACATGCTGCTATAGTCTATGTGAGATCATACATATGCCTGTCCTGCTGTTTTTAGAAGTCATTGTCTTCTTGGTTCCCTCTATCTTCTCTGGCTCTTACCATCTTTCTGCCTCCTTTTCCACAGGGTGTCCTGAGACCTGAGGGTAGGGATTTGATGGAGACCTCCCATTTGGAGTGCTGTGTGTTTCCAAGGTGTTTCTCCCCCTGACCCTCCGACTCTCTCTCTCCATAATATCTGTATGTATTCCCATCTACTTTAGGAGGAAGCCTCTGATGATGGCTGAGTGAGTGTTTTACATCTTTATCTTTAACTTAAACCTCTTATAGCCTGTATATGAGTGTATTCATTTGTGTATGTGTGTGATGTGGGTGCATAGCTGAACATCCATTGAAACATAATTATAGTCTAAGTACAGTCATTTCAAACACATAAAGCAACATTAAGCAGGTGAAACTTAAAAAAAAACAAAAAAAATGTAGCTTTCTGACATCTTAAACAATGACAGAAAAAATTCAATCAACATCATTTAGAGGAAAAACCAAATCTTCCTCTAATACTTACTCATAACCATAAGCTATTATGAACATGTAGCTGGAAGTTTTCCAGTGTCTCGCCTGGCCTGCAATCAGGACAAATCTCTCCCACTCATGTCCCCCAAGTAAACACACAGAGGCTTGTATTAATTATAACTGCTCAGCCATTTGCTCAGGCTTATTACTGACTAGCTCTTACATTTAAATTGACCATAATTCTTAATTTTCTCAGGATCCCCATGGGGTTGCCAGTGCCCTCAACCAGCAGGAAGTAGTATGAGAAGCTACACCCAAGTTCCCAAAATATTGTTTATAAATTTTTTTTATTTAAAAGGGTTGATTATAAATGCAATCTCTTTCTAAAGAAGAAAAGGGGATATAGATATGATAGGGTAAAGAGTAACAACTTGTTTAAACTGTTTTACATTGCTGTGGGTTTTAGTTTATGGATACAAATTTAAAGTTAATTTTGTTATACTATATATATCTATATATCTATATATCTATATATCTATATATCTATATATCTATAGATATATATATTCCTACTCTCGTTTAAGGTATTATGTTTATGTAACTCATTTAAATTGTAGTAAATAATTAAGAAATACAGATTAATAATTAGTCATCTATGATAATCAAACTTATAGTCGTGTTAGGTAAGTTTTCTAGGTATACATAGATATAATTCAATTAGGTAGATAATCTTCAAATACTTCAAAGACCTACAGAATATGGCATTTAGAATGTTCTAAAAACTTAGAATTTTCTGGACAATGAGATATGTATACTTCTGGCAGCACCAATTACTTCAAGGAGAATGATGGGCATTCAAACTCATTATGGAGTTTGCTTTCTTTGTGGCAAAGGTTAGCCAGTGGGCAAAAAAGTGACCTTGTGTTGACTATTGACAGTATGTTGTATAAACTGGACTTGCAGGACCCATAGGAAGGTATCCACTGAACTTTGCAAGGCGAGATGGTCCTTCAGGTTCCTGCTTTGCAGAAGAGACTGCCAGACATTCTACAGGACACAGGAAAAATGACTGAGAGACTCTAGGCCTATGGGCTGGAGATGGATGCCCAAACATTACATAAGAACTTTGGGTGACTGTTCAGGCAGCCAGCTGTCTCTGTCATTCTAGATTTTTGGAAGTTGTTTACAATGCTCTTCCTATTTGCTTAGGTAATATATTCTTCTGGGGGGTTCTGAGGGAGTTGAAGTTTAGATAGTTGTAGTTACAGTTTTTTTTGTTAACAATTTCAGAAAAGAAACTCACTAAGAGGAGATGTAAAGTATGCAGATTTGAAAGACAGCATAAGATAGTTTTCTGTTGGTAATGTAAGTTAGGATAGAAAGGGATTAGGTACATTTAGGACTCATCAAAATAGGATAGATAATGGAATATTTTCTCTGAATTTGTCAAATGCAAATGGACTAGACATTGTTGATATATTTATTGCTTGTATATAGTGTATATAATTATTGTACTTATTGTATACAGTTTTTCTTATATTAGTTATAAATTTTTATTTTATTTTTTATTTGTGCTTTAATAAATAAATAAAGCTTGCCTGAAGATCAGAGGAAGAAGCCAGCTATTATAAGTAAACACAAAAGTCAGGCAATGGTAGCACACACCTTTAATCCTGTTACTTGGGAGGCAGGGATCTGTCTGGATCTCTGTGAGTTCAAGGCCACACTGGGAACAGAGCCAGGCATGGTGATACACACCTTAAATTCCAACACTAGTTAACTATGGAGGTCTGGAGGTGTATACAGACAGACAGGAAGTGACAGAGCTGGGCAGGAAGAGGAAGTGATGTAGCTGGACAGAGAGCAAATCAGATGGCAGAACAGCAAGGCATATAGGCATGGGTAGACAGGAAGTATCTCATATTTTGGAAGCCGTGGAGTTGGTGAGGTGAGGTTAGCATGTGGCTATTCTTATTCCTCTGATCTCTCTCAGGTTTTGACCCCTGTATCTGGCTTCATGTTTTCTATTGAGATCATTTAGAAATTCATCTACATGAACATATGTGCAGTAATACTTTGACATAGTAATAAAATAATTATTAATAAAATAGTACATGTAAATACTTGGATCCAAATTTCAGAAGAACCGAGAAAGCCTCAAAATACATCTAGCAAAGTAAATTCTCACTGCTACCTCAATGTGTGTTTCACTTTACACACAAAAGTGCTTCAATTTCTTTTGGTAGTTTTTGCAATGAACGAGTAACATTTATTTTCATGCCTCTTCAGTGTAGTGGAGAAACACAGTTCATTTTTATTTCAGAGTAGGCCTTAAAGGATACCCAAGTCTGCAGTGTTTGGAAACTGACAAGGCCTAGCCTTTTAATACAACCCAACTTTTCTTTAAAGGATAAAAATGACTAAAAAAAGAAAAAGAAAAGAAAAAGAAATCAAAACTCCTTGAGCAATCCAAACAACATATCTCAAATTTTAGAAGTTGTATACATTTTAGGTTAGACATTTAGAAGTCATTACTATCAACTTCAATGGCCTTTCTCTTCCTGTATATTGGTAGAAGCCTCTTTTTCCAGGAATGCTGTCCTTGTCACTCTCCTTACACCAGCTTCATTTTTAACAACTTGGAATTCAATCTTTTTCCTCTGCAGATCAAAAGGTAAGATTCTTGCCATGTGTTAAGGCTTGTCTAGAGCAACAGGAGCAGACAAGAGCTAGGATCTCATGGTTATGGCTCAGTGTTAGACTTCCTGGTGCTCCTTTGTCAGTGCTGATCCCATTCTCTGTGGCTTACAGTCTGGTGTCTGCCATTTACTGAGGACATCAGAAGGAATGCTGATTTTGAGAGAAAGCATTAGAAATATTCCTAAAAATGCAATGAAGTTATTTTGTATTTGTGGGATAACAGCGATGAGAATTAAAAGTGGATGTTTGTACCTCCTGTTTTCCAATCTTCTCACATCTCTTGCAAATACTCTTCAGTAATCTTACAAAAACACTCAGTCTGCAATGGATAAAAAATATCCTGACCCTGAACTACAGAAAGTCTGAGAAGCTCAGAGAAATAAGATAACTGGTGAGCCAGCTAACCCCTCGGGAGCAGCTTCCCTATCTCTGAAAACGGAAAGAGTGAATCCCACTCTGTTTTCTTATCAGCCTGTGAATTCTAGATGCATTTACATATTTATAAGCCATTTGTAAATTATAAGACTGCATATAAACACACAAGCATCATATTCTAAGTAATTATCCTCTGGAAAGTAGTGTGGCATCTCAGCTAAAAGAAACTTAGTGTCTCTTAACTACTCCAAAGTGTTGGCTTTATAAATCAATGTAAGAGCAGAAACTGCCACCAAAAAGAAATGGATCAGAAAGCTCCCAGGAAATACAGGGATTCCAAGGCAATTCACTGACATGTTGTCAGTGCAGTTTCTCCGCCTGCTAATGCAAGGGTCATTACACCTACCACGTTTCAGTTTATAGTGACAGGTAAACAAAGCAAGGTAGTAAAGTATCTTGGGTGTATTACTTGGCATGTGGAAAATACTCAGTATAAGCTAAACTGCTGTCTTTAAATTCTTTTCACACGTAGAGGAAACTACTAGAATGTTGATAAGCAGTTTCCTGTTTAACACTTAAGAAATCTAAGCAGGCAAGCATAGCCCCTTCTATAAAATGCACAAACTAAATTTCAATAAATACAAACATTTTCCCACGATTGCATCACTACTTTAAGTCCCTGTCAATTTATAACAGTTTTGTTCCCCCCACATAAAACTTAGCCTTTTTCCCCCAGGGAAGACAGAACTTTATTTATCAAGGAACAAGAAGCAAAATACCACACAAGCCTATTCATATGCAGAATTAATAAAGATTGAACTAACAGAGCTAGAATGTAGAATAGGTTAGTAAAGGCTTAGGAAATTAGGAGGAGGAATTTTGGTGGAGAAACTGATGAAAGGAAACACAATTTCAGTGAGATAAATGTCTTCCAATCATAAGAATAAAATTCACAGGCAAAATCTGAGAAGCACTGTCATCTTTAAAATCAATATGCCAGGGGACCTTTTGCATGAAAAACAAGCAAACAAAAACAGAACCTACAGAAGTCACGACATGTAGAAAAGGAAGCATAGAGTCGCATGTGTCCACTTACCAGTTTGAAGTGGGCTCCTCATGCTGGTGGTGGCCACCTGTGCTCTTTATCTTAGACGCTTTTTTAAAAATAATTCTCTTACTATGCTGCAAGGAAAAAAATGGAAGAAAAAGGAAAATGAAATAATGCTCCAACCTTTGGAGTTCCCATACCTTTGACTGGCTTCATAAACTTTTAAAACAATACCAGAGATTAGCCTATTTCATGGGTTTGGTATTTTCCATTTTAAAGGCAATGCATTGCCATATTTATCCAGAACATGGATTTAATGCTTATCTCTATCACCAAGGTATATCTTAATATTATATTACTTTGAGGAATAAGGCAAGGACACCAGAAATGCAAGACCAACCTTAGATACCATGTATGCACATCTTTTTTTTTTTTCTTTTAAATCAAATATGTTTTGTGGAAACAGGGTCAAACTATTTAGTCCTGGTTTTCCTAGAAGATATGTAGATCATGTTAGCTTCATACTCAGAATTCAGCCTGCTCTCACTCCCTAATGCTGAGATTAAAGGCATGGGAAAGGTCTCGAAATGTGTTATATCCACCATCGCCATTTTTTCCCTATGTATACTGCTGCACCATTCCCAAAGTACATGATAACTAGTGAACCATTTTATTCACATGTGCTTATAAAATTAGATTTGGGGGAACATTTAAGAGTTACTTCATATGCAGGATTTCAATTATCACATTGAATTACTATTGTCTACTTTAATAGGTTATGCAACGTTATAATTTAATGTGAGGTTAATTAGTATCTACAAACATTTTCTACTATCACTATTGTATGTTAAAATTGATTTTACTTGTATTCAATACCTAATCAAGAAATTTTAACAACACAGGAAAGATACAGTCTAACCAATATGCTAGTACGATTCATCTTGTTTTCATTACTCCAGAGACCCACCCTACCATTTCATATCTTTCCCTGCAAATTCAAATGTTATCTGAAGCTATCCTTTTGAAAGAAAACATCCAGGTGGCCTATACCACAGCACCTTAGCTTTGGTTATGTCTGGAAATCTATTGTTCTGAAAAGTTTATTCTTTCCAAGAGCACATGTGAAAACCAAATTTAGAGAATTCATGATGCAAGTGTAGGAATAAAAACAAAATCCGAGAAAACTTTAGATTAGAACAAATGGAAAACATAAACTGTATATAGCCATGTATGTGCGTGTTCCAAATATAAAATATGAAAGGGGACCCCTAACTATGAGGAAGAATTTGAGATAACATCTTACAGAAGGAACTCACCTGCTTCCAACTCCTTAGAGTCCAGTTTCTTTTCTACCTAGCCTCTTTCTCAAATGTTTCCATGCTTCCTATCCATTTTTTTAAAACTTAACTTCATTTATTTCTTCTAGTATCCAACTTCCTCCTTCAGGTTTTGATGACCTTCAGTAATGTACCATTTGATAGACAGCAGCTAGACTTTCCTGAAAGAAGGACATTGCTGAGTCTATTTCTGACTCACTGAAGCTCCTGCCTCTACACCTGGCTGTAGTTTCCTAAGCAATTCAACTTCATCAACAATAACACTGGCTCTTTTTCATACATGAATCCCTCCACCAATTTGATCAGATTAGATCTTTAAATCAGAGTTAGAATCTTGCTAGCCTATTACTAAAACTGTTACAGGTTGTGAAATAAAAGAAGTAGGGAACTGAGCTCCAGTTTCTAATGAAACTTAAGCTTGATGTATTCAACTATCTTTGATCTACCTTTTTCTTGTCATTTATTATGGGTTTTAGGAGAATTAAGATTGTTTTTCCTCATAGGTCTGATCATCAATTGTTGGGAGCTCCACAACCAAGGAGAATCTTGCTAATACTCCTATCCCCACAGCAATGGACTGTCTGGAGGTAAAGTGCTTTTTTGTGTACTGCAGGCACTTTGAAAATAGCTTGTATCAAACTAAATGAGTTCCAGTATAAATAAAGAGCCTGAGACATTGCAGACGGCACTCAGGAAGATATTGGTGTGACAGCTAGAAAGATGCAGTGTGACCCTCTGCAATTGATGCTTTGTATCGAGTGTAAAGTCTAATAAAATGAGCTCCATCATGGAACCAGTGTGCTCAATGAAATCTGTATTAAGCCTAAATATGAGCTCTGTCTGCTGCCTTAGTAAAAGGAGGAAAAAGATAAAAAGGAACAAACTGTAACTTGAGTCAGATTCATGACACAAAAAAACCTAGGTGTCATATGTATTTTCTATTCTAATCAAAGTGAGAAGTGAAAGAATATTTATATTATATATGTTGCCTTGCTGTGACACTATTTCAAATACACCAAAACATGGCTTTATTTATTTCAAAACCTCTGGCATAAGTTACACGTTGATTCATTTTCTAGCACTTTCATAGCTGTAGCTCATTAAATTATGCTTGTATTATATAAGCTGCCCTGAGTACACACTGTTAACCTAAAAAGATTGTAGGGTAAGAGGTTATTTTAAATACATTCTATTCCTTCCACATAGATCGATGCAGACAAGCTTCCTAGAGAACTTTTTCTGCTGCTATAGGAAAAACTTCAGAGTCTGGTAAGGGAGATATGGAGGAAGCAATGCCACTTAACCAGTTGCCTTGGCCTAAGCAGTGGATTCTAGTAGCCTGATCTTTCCTGGAACACTCCTCACTTGAGTGTGCTGAAGGAAGATTGCTTATTGAAGTTTGATTGCCATCTGTTGGGGAATTATTTAGTGACAGATAATCACAGAGCCTTCAAGTCATACATGATGTAAGTCATTCCTTCTATCCCCTACTCTCTATGAGGATGTTGGTATTGACAAGATGGTATACACCGAAACTCTCTTGGCATCAGCTGAGCTGAATGAACAGCTCTGACTGTTGGACAAATTGTCACACCTTGGTCCAAGAACTGTTTTCATAAACTACTCAATATATAGATGGCAGTTTTCCAATTCACTGAAAGAAGTTGTCATGGCCACACTAAGATACATAGCATCTTTCAGCCTCAGCAGCAGCAACATCCTGAACACACAATGATAGCCACATTCCTTACACAATGAGTTGTTAGAAATTTCACTATTCTGGAGATCTATAGCCAAGCACCAGGTTGAGTTCCAGGAGTCCAGCTGAAGTGAGGGAAGCAGGATTCTATGAGCTAGAGGCATTAATGTCATTGTGGGGAAATCTACAGAGACAACCGAACCAAGCTAGTGGGAACTCATGAACTTTAGACCAACAGCTGTGGAGCCTGCATGGGACTGGATTAGGTCCTCTGCATAATCAAGACAGCTGGGTGGCTTGATCTGTTTAATGAGCCTCTGGCAGTAGGGTCAGGACCTATCCCTGGTGCAAGAGCTGGCTTTTTGGAGCCAATTACCAATGGTGGAACATCTTGCACAGCCTTGATGTAGGGGGAAGGGCTTGGACCTGCCTCAACTGAGTGGATTGGGCTCTGCTGACTCCTCATGGGAGGCCTTACCTTTTCGGAGGAGGGAAAGGAGGGTAGGTTGGGAGGAAGGTTGGTGGAGAGCAGGAGGAGGGATGAGAGGGAGATCTGTGGTTGGTATGTAAAATGAATAAAAAATTTCTTAAAAAACAAAATAATTTAAAAAACAAAAAGAGAATTATCTACAATAAAAAAATAAATTTCACTATTCTGGTTAACTTCTTCTGGATAGACTTCAAATTATCAATATGTCCTATGAAAATATGCATAAGACAATATTTCTAAAACTCCAGCACAAACAGAGCAGTGAAAGATGAATGAAAAATTGTTCTGGTTTGTGAAGAATAATGAGGCCCAAAGTTAAAATGATTTCAACTTCACAAAAATAGGCAGAGGAAAAACTAAGTGAAAAATCTATTAACATTTTAGTGGATGAGAAATTGAAGTCTCAGCTTGGTGGTGGTAATGTGTGTGTGTGTGTGTGTGTGTGTGTGTGTGTGTGTGTGTGTGTGTGTGTACGCGAGCTCATGATTGTGAGGGTTGGGGAGAGAGAAAGTGGCAATGGGTACACTGTTTATAACACACATATATTTCAATCTGTTATCTACACTGACTGTTAAATCTTTAAAATGGCTAGGCCTCTGAGAGGGATGGAAAGAATATTTGTTATAAAAAAGACACCTAGTAATAGGTTTCCACAAAGCTTTTCTGCTGTGGGCCGCAGGAATATATTCTAAGAACTCAGCTGGTATGGCAAAGCCACTACCTGGAGGAATCAGGGAATTCCTCCAGAGGAAGCCAAATCACAAGGAGTTTTTGGTGTTACTTGGCTTGTTATATATCAGCTGTATTCTGTTATGAAAGTCATGTGTGCTTTCATAGTTTTCCCAATTGACTTTTCCCTAAGAAAGGCTAACAGTGTGGACTGATCACTCTCTGGACATACACATTCCAGGTATTTGGAGAACAGCCTCAGGAAAGGCTTTCTCTGGAATCAGATATCTCCCTTGGCCACTTTCAAGGACTAGCAGTAATAACAGTCTACATGCAAGTCTCCTGATTTAACGTAAATTCCACAAGGAGACACCACCTAGGTTAGGTGCAGTTCAGCTTGGACCCTCCTTTCTTACAGCCTTACTAACTTTATATACCGCTAACTCCTTACCTAACCACTTCTAGGAATATTTAGATAATCCTCTGCACTGACAGCAATGCTCAGCCAGGACCCCAGTTCAAGCCTCCCTGTAATTATCATCATTAGCAGCATCCGGCCAGGTCCATCCCCAGATGGAGGAGAATACTTTATCAGAGATACTTCTGTATTCTCTAAGAATAGACTTAACCATCCAGGCTACCTGTTTGAGAAGGCCTGGTGGATGTGCCAATTAAGGTTTACTTCCTCCTTTCCCAAACCTTACCTCTGGTTCTAGATCTCCCTTTAACTATCACCAGAGGCATCTAGCTGTACACAGGTTGCCTAGCGACTGAGCACACTTTCCCCCACCCTGCAGGAAAACGGCAGATAGCTTGGACAGATAGGAGCCACAGGAAAAAAGAAGACAGTTTTATTTTCTCCCATTGACCTAGCAACTTATAGATTCTTAACATTTTCTATTAATCACGTTTAAGACTATAATTGAGCACATAAGATTC